AAGTGAGGTAAAATACAATTCCTGTCGATTAAAATATGACCCGACGCCACTGGGCGTTCGGGTATCTTCGGAAAATTTGGCTACTATCTTTTGCCACCAACTTCACATCGGTTTAAAATTGTCACCTTATCGGGTTTTTTGAATCTATGATGGCAGCCTTGGGTGCTCCTTAATCCTCATCAGTAACTGGAGCTTATGTGGTTTAATATGATTGTTATGTTGCTTATTTTTTGTGTGTTTTAGGGTCTGTTTCTTTGACAAAAGTTAAAGGGTTTTCTGAAACTTCAAGTAGCTCACCCGTTTTATCGAGGAGGTTACTCTACAACATGACATGAAAAAATAAATCAGACTTTCAATGTCTTTTGAAAAATCGAGCATACTTCTGCTAGATCGTTTTGGGGAGAATTTATTGCCTCTGCTTTTTTAGTTTTCAAAATATCGAGACTCAAAGTTGAACTTCGTCATAACCGTTGGTCATAACTCAAATGTCTCAAATCTCAAATAGCTTAAATCTCAAATAGCTTGGATTGAGGCTCGAATATTTTCGAAGACCACCTGTTACCTGTTACTATGTAGTCCATTCAATATTTTCAAAAAAAAGTTTCAATCCCGGAAAGTGGGGTACCCACTTCTGAAGTTTGAAAAATGTGCAGTTAACAAACGTCTCTTAGCTTCGAAAGCCTCTACATTTTGGAAGGCACTCTGAATAAAAATATTATTCGAGGATCTCAAAGGGTGTTTTTCTGTCTTTCTTTTTTTGTGACTGTTTCTATAATGTTTTCTTCCTGTTAATGTCATCAATGTTAAATCGTTTCTGATCAATCTTCTCCTGTTTCATAACCGTCTGTTATCTGTTCTCAAATAATTTTTGTATCCCTTTGGTACATTATACATTTAAGATTTTACCCTAAATCTTATTTTAGATAAATATTTAAGATTATTCGCATGGGGATAAAGAGACCACCAGTGACCACAGCAGTGTGGGTACAGTACACCGCCTTGACTGCTGAGACCGTCGCAGTCACTCTTCCAATACTTAGTTGCTTTGATTTTCCCGAAGATTTTTCTATTCTCAAGCATAGCTTCAATCCATGCAATTGTAGTTTCGTCAATGCCCTTATTTCTAGCCACTCTTCTTATGGATTCATGTGAGATGTGATCGAAAGCTCCCTCTATATCAATGAATGCGCATAGAGCGGTTTCTTCACATACCTACTTTCATTGGAGCGAGTTTTTCATTAGGAATTCACCCGAGATGAATGATTTTCGCTATAGTTTTTAGGAGAATTGAGGTTAGGCTAATTGGTCTGAATGATTTATGCTGTACTGTAGGGCGCCTACCAGCTTTTGGAATGCAGACCACATTCACATCTCGCCAACTGGGCGGGGACGTGGCCTATATAATTTGTAGCTAGCTTCGAATATTTTTGCTAGGCATGGTATGCTAATTCTCTCAGACCCTGTTGTAGGAGGGCGGGAAAGATCGCCCATCTTCACCTGATGATTGGTAGAGCTGGAAGAGCTGTTTATAGGACATTCAATCTTGTTTTTTTTTTCAATTTTATTAATGAACGGCAGAGCCATTTTACAAAGAATAACAATAATATAAATAATTTAGGTGAGATAGCCAACAATACAAATACAGGAACATTGAATGCCCTCAATGTTCTTGTGAGGGGGGAATTAGGGCCATAATTGGCATGATGGAAGAGGATACGGAACATTGGAGAATCACGCCTCGATCCCTTGACTGGCATTAAAAGAAATAGCATGTAACAGCGGACAGAGGTAGATACCATAAACTATCTTAAATAGAATCAGAAGGTCACAATGACGTCTTCTTACTTCGAGACTGTCAATATTATACTGCTGGATGATTAGATCATAGTTGATTTGATAACCATCACGTATCCTTACATTCGCCCTGAGAGCTAAGGATCTCAAAGATGTTTTCTGCACAGACTCAAGGTCACTAATATGACATGCGTAGTAGGGAGACCAAACAACAGAGATATACTCCAGAACTTAACGAACAAGCGAGCAATACAGCAACCTGAAGAAATACGGCGAGAGCTGAGCACTGTTACAGGTGCTAAACCCAAGACTACGTAATTCCCTGTTATTAACATCTTCACGATGATGAATGAATATTAATTTGGAGTCGAACAATACCCCCAGGTCTCTGACTGTTTTCCAGACACCAAAACTGAACCATCGATAGAATATCCGTATTGTACCTATTACATTTGCTGAACGACTAAATGAGATGCGAAAACATTTCTTTACATTCAGCTCCAGTCCATTATTCTTGCACCATAGATTGACACTGTCAACATCTTTCTGCAGTAAAAGTACATCCATATAAGACTCGACAACTGTGAATACTTTAAAATCATCAGCAAAAGCCAAATGCTCTGAATGGACAATAACATCACTCAGATCTCGTATAAAAAAATTAAACAGAATAGGTCCAATGTGCGATCCCTGGGGCACGCCAGAAAAGACCTGTATTTCACTTGAGATAAAGTTACCAAACCGCACCAGTGTCAAAAGACTGACAAAAATCAACTACAATCCTACCCATTCAAAAAGCCTCAAGCTTATCAACGAGATATTCATGACTAACCCTGTGAAATGCCTTCAACAAGTCCGTGTAAACATTATCCACTTGTTTGGAATTATCGAACAGATAGTGCTGATAGGTGAGCAAATTTGTGACCGTCGATCTACCCAGATTGAACAAATAATGCAGAGGCCTGCTTAATGTACAAACACAGCTCTTAAGCAGGACCGACGGTATACCATCAGGTACATGAGAATAAGTAGCAGGCAGGAAGATCAGCAATCCCCTCAAAGATCTCACACATGCAGAGTTCAAATCATGACCTCCTCTAAAACTGTAATTACGAGCAATCTCCTCATATTCCTTGTAAATGGAAGCAAAATGTCGAGCAAAAAAATTCTCAATATCCTGACCGCTGCCTGCGTTTTCGCCGTTTTAATGCATGGTATTGGGATAAGCACTCGACCTACGGAGACCATTTATATTATGTTTCCAGAAGGAACCTGGGTTTTGTGCCAAATCTGAATTAATTTCATCTATGTATAATTTGTAACACTCATCCCTCAAAACTTTACAAGATGAAAACTGAACATACTTAGTCTTTAAAATTTGGAATGAGCAATTTTTTTCTGAACAATTTGATGTTGAAGTTGCTGACTAAACCAGGATGGGAAATTAGTTGATCTAAAGCGCTTAAGGGCCACATTATAGACCAACTGGGTAAGTGTCTGGTTGTTACCTAGCAGGTACTTTCTATTCTCTGGTGCATAGAAAGTACCTGCTAGGTAACAACCAGACGTTTACCAGTCAGTCCATAATTTGGCCCTAACTGGGACAAATTTCTCCAGCGCAGAATAAAAATTCCCCACGCATTTATCAATGTTGTCCGAGTCGGTGAATATCCTTCTGGCTGGGCTTTTAGTGCGGTTGGTCAGTCACGGAACTCCTTTTTACATTAGGTTATTAGGCGATAGACCCTGGAAAGTGTGATTGCAGAAGGAGTTTTACACTATCCAGTCTGTAGCTGGTGCCTTGGTATAATCGTCTGAAAAATGCGACAACTCCTTTGGATGTGGCACTAATCCTTCTCTGATAATCCATAAGATTCAGAACTATTAGTCCTGCAATGTTTGATACAAGTTATATTCATATCTTCGTCATCAAAAACCTGTCCATCTTTGAGATCATCATAACTGTGGGAACTAAAGCTGAACGCTATCACCTTCAATTTTTTCTATATATTCAATTTCAACAGCATTCTCGAGTGCTCTAACATGGCTAATACGTAGACGAAAATTGTAGAGAATAGAATTATGAATATCTATAACTTTTGCTAGGTACTAATCCTGTATTTTATCCTTTATCCAGTCTCTGAGAATTGAGTGGTAAAGTACATTGGAGCTTTCCGCCCTTTTGGCACGTCCTTTTATGCAAAATTGAAATTGTTAACCTTCTAGATTTTTGTTGTCATTGACAATTAGTTCGTAATTCATTGTCCTATATTATTCTGGTAATTTTACTCCTTAAATAGTGTTAACAATGTTATAATTACTAATTACTCTATTTGAATCACGTGCAATTTGTAATTAACCATACTAGACACCTGCTAGGACAAAACAAACACAAAGTGACTGAATTTGCAATAGAATCTGGGTCAAAACATGATGAACTTGTCGGCAATATACTTTAGGGATTTATAAAACCTTTTTTAATTGGCTAGTCGTTTCCTTGTGTGTGTTTTGAACTTGAAACACGTTTTCAATGGACAAAATGTTCAATGTGCCGCAATGGAAAACTCAATTTTCGTTTTTGGGAGGTCTCTTTTTTCTAACGGGGAGTAATGCCCAAAATTTCAAGTGAACAGACGATCAATCCCTTTGAAACTTTATTTGAAACGTTTTTCTATCTATGTAGATTATTACCTACCTCTACTTTTCAAGTCTACTATATCTACCTACTTGTCAAAAGTTTAGGTAAAACTTCATTTGTATTCAGCAATAATTGTTCCCCTCAAAACAAAAATTAGCGGATATTGATATTGAATTAAATTGCATTGCTTATGTAGTTCAATTGGTTAAATATCCCAAAATAGCTAACTAAAAGACTGACCCTTGAAAAAAAAACGACCTAATATGTCATATACACATATAAGACATAATAATTAATGTCATCAGCAAGTTGTTTTACATTACGCAAACGCCATCATCTTCAAGATTAAGATCATCAAGCCTAAAAAAAGATCTTTAATTAATTAGGCAACAGAAATGAATGCCGAATAAGGCTCCAATAGGTGCTTTATCAATGTAACGTGAAAGGATTTCTATTGATGTGACACATCCCAATAAAGGAGATGCACTCAAACAGACTTACGTTTTGTATTGATAAAAGTAAGCTAGAAAAAGATGGAAGGATAATGGAAACAATGCCGGGGATCATCTTCGCGGAGAAGAAGACACGATGATCTGTTTTTTTTTTATTGTTTCAATTGTCAATAGTGGGGTGGTATCGATTTAATTGATTCTGTAAATAGTATAAAAGCTAGTTTATCCTTTGAGCGAAAATAGTTTAGTTTTATTGTTTAGTTCTTATAGATTTAGTAAAATAATATGGGTAGTTTAAGGCTGGTGAGTCAATTTTTTTTGAATTAAAAAAAAAAATATTATTTCAAAAATTATCACAATATTCAATATTTGACCTTAAAAAAATGGTTCAACCTATCCCCTCAAATTTTTTAAAAACTAACACTACTAGATAGGAATACCTTTATGTCTAGACTCTAACATCTTGAACTGTGCCAAATCCAAAGACTAGATTTTGTAGAATCAATTATTCATTTGTATATCAGAAGCTCACAGTATTTTTTTGTGTCTACAGTTTCTTTGAATCCAATTTCTAAATTGAAATTTTCTCTAAAAATAATTTAGGTATATATTATAAAAACTTTGATTTGGGAAATTTCTTTTTGCGCTATTGACATTCTTTGATCGAGTCGAATTTGATTGAGTGAAAAAAAGATGGTAAGAAAATTGAAGTACCAATCATGTGAAAAGTGGTCATTGGGCAAAAAAGTTAGTACCTACCTATCCCTAATGTTCTCCATAAACAGGAAAATGTTTTACAGATGTTATAGCTTCTTTGAAAACCTTTGTAAACTTCAGTTTTTATAGAATATTTTTGAAACCAGAAGTCATTTTTTTCATAAATTAATTCTATTGTTTAGAGGGAGTGCATAGACTGCTTAGTCGGGAGGGTTAGTTTGGGTCAGTCACATTTTCACCAATTATGTGAAAAATGGACATTGGGCAAAAAAATTAGGATCTATCCCTAATGGTCTCCATAAGCAGGAAAATGTTTTACAGATGTTAAGGCTTCTTTGAAAATCTTTGTAAACTTCAGTTTATATAAAATATTTTTGAAACCAGAAGTCAAATTTTTCATAAATCAGCTCTATTGTTTGGAGGGAGTGCATAGACTGCTTAGTAGGGAGGGTTAGTTTGGGTCAGTCTCTTTTTCACCAATTATCTGAAAAATGGACATTGGGCAAAAAAATTAGTATCTCCATAAGCAAGAAAAGGTTGAACAGATGTTACGGATTCTTTGAAAACCTTTGTAAACTTTTACAAAAAAATTAGTATCTATCCCTAATGTTCTCCATGAGCAGAAAAATGTTTTACAGATGTTATAGTTCCTTTGAAAACCTTTGTAAACTTCAGTTTATATAGAATATTTTTGAAACCAGAAGCAAATCTTTCACAAATCAGTTCTATTGTTTAGAGAGAGTGCATAGACTGCTTAATAGGGAGGGTTAGTTTGGGTCAGTCTCATTTTCACCAATTATGTGAAAAATTTACATTGGGTAAAAAAATTAGTATGAATCCCTAATGTTCTCCATAAGCAGGAAAATGCTTTACAGATGTTATAGCTTCTTTGAAAACCTTTGTAAACTTCAGTTTTTATAGAATATTTTTGAAACTAGAAGTCAAATTTTCCATAAATCAATTCTATTGTTTAGATGGAGTGCGTATAGACTGCTTAGTAGGGGGGGTTAGTTTGGGTCAGTCTCATTTTCTCCAATTATGTGAAAAATGGACATTGAGCAAAAAATTAGTATCTATCCCTAATGTTCTCCTTAGCAGGAAAATGTTTTACAGATGTTATAGCTTCTTTGGAAACCTTTGTAAACTTCAGTTTATATAGAATATTTTTGAAACCAGAATTCGAATTTTTCATAAATCAATTCTATTGTTTAGAGGGAGTGCATAGACTGTTTAGTAGGGAGGGTTAGTTTGGGTTAGTCTCGTTTTCACCAATTATGTGAAAAATGGACATTGGCCAAAAAAATTAGTATCTATCCCTAATGTTCTCCATGAGCAGAAAAATGTTTTACAGATGTTATAGTTCCTTTGAAAACCCTTGTAAACTTCAGTTTATATGGCATATTTTTGAAACCAGAAGTCAAATTTTTCATAAATCAATTCTATTGTTTAGAGGGAGTGCATAAACTGCTTAGTATGGAGGGTTAGTTTGGGTCAGTCTCATTTTCACCAATTATGTGAAAAATGGACATTGGGCAAAAAAATTAGGATCTATCCCTAATGTTCTCCATAAGCAGGAAAATGTTTTACAGATGTTATAGTTTTTCCATGCAGATTTCTAACTGTTAAAATGATTGAAAACTTATATGTACTGTAGTTTTTATTAAAACCAAGTTGACAGTTTTATCTTATACAATCTCGGAATTTGTTTCTCTTTTCTGAAATGTATCTTCTTTCCAGTTACTGATCGCTGTCCTGTTGGGCTACAGCACGGCAGCAAGACTGGACAGCAGCTATCTGCCGCCTGGAGGAGCTAACGGAGCTGGAGGTGGGCCTGGCATTTCGCCCCCGTTTGGGGGTGGCGGCAAACCTGTGGCTGGGGGGCGGCCCGGAGGTGGAGGTGGAGGTGCTCGCCCGGGTGGTAAATTAACAAGTTTTCTTCATCACTAACTATAATAACAATCTTTGCAGGAAATACTCTTATCTCAATCTTAATTTTTGAGTTGTTGACTACGTTGTTTATTGGAAATTGATTGGTTGGATGCAGGTGAAGAAAAATCAATCACATTTTGGTTGATTGCCAATTTGATTGATTGATTATGATTCAAGTTTATTCATCCAATAATGCCAGTTCAGGCTGCAATATATTGGCTAAGCTTGAACGTAAAAAGGAGTCTGTTTCTTACTTGTGCAATGGAAACTGTTTCTCGAGAACTCTTTCTTATCTACTTATTACTATTTTCTTGGCTGTAGTAACAGGTGAACTCTAGTTGAGAACCTTATTCAGGCTCTTAGGATCTCCAAAACGTCGGCATTAAACCAAAATTCAATTTTATTTTTTCACCTATATCCAACCAATTTTCTCATTTTTGTCAAGCCCCAATCTATAGGGTTTCTAATGTGTTTCAAGTGAAACACTCTGTATATAACTCGTTATTGGATTTCAAAGTACATCATGAAGTTTCGACTTGTGCCATTAATTTAAGGACATGCGAATGATGACTAATTTTTACCAATCTCTCAGTGATTTTTTTTTCTTTATCCCTAAAGGACCTTCTTCAGCCTTTTCATATCACAAGTTACTCTTATAAGCACCCTTTTCTTAACTCTGATAATATGTTTTGCTCTTTTGAGCATCAATTTTTGTGAAAATATCCATTGCGGAAGCTATAAGTGGCGTACCTCACATCATTAGGGAATGTAGAAGAAAGAGTTCTCTTCAGAAAGCAAATTTTCGCAAATGGGAATAAATGAGTGAGACGTTATTGAATTTTAACCAGTTTTTCACTTCGCGGAATATGATCATTTTCTATGACTTCTTATAAATAGTAAAAATAAATGAAGAAAACTGGAAAAAAATGTCTTACATAAAAAAAGAAGCATAAGTGTTTTCTTGGAGAAGATATTTTTGTTTAACCCAAGCAATCAAGGATAAATAAATCAGATATAAGATATTTGGGAATCACATAGTAATCAATTATGAATACATGAGTAAAGGTTCTAGGACAGTTCAACAGCAAACCCCATGTAAGTCTCCATAAGAAAATGCTGTCCAAATTGCGGCTTTTTCGACCATTTCCAGGTAGCCCCAACCACTATCCCGCTATCTCCAAAACATTCTCAACAACACCTCAAAGACAACTCCAAGACATCTCAACAACACCTCAAAGACATCTCAACAACACCTCAAAGACAACTCAAAGACATCTCAAAGACAACTTCAAGACATCTCAACAACAACAACAACAACAATGGTTGGTGTAGGTGAGCATGTTAAAGAAATTTTGAAGCTTAGCGAGAAAATTATTGGTGTTGTTGTTGTTGAGATGTCTTGGAGATGTTGTTGTTGTCTTGGAGTTGTCTTACAGATGTTGTTGAGATGTCTTGGAGTTGTCTTCGAGGTGTTGTTGAGATGTTTTGGAGATAGCGGGATAGTGGGTGGGGATGGTCGAAAAAGCCGCAATTTGGACCTTAGCGTTTTCTTATGGAGATTTACATGGGGTTTGCTGCTGAACTGTCCTAGCACCTTTACTTACATGAGAATAACCTAGGAATCGCTAGGAATCTCTTTGGGAATAACATAGGAATTCATTGGTAATCGCTGAGAATCAAATGGTAATCGCTGAGAATCATATGGTAATCGCTGGGAATATCATCTCATCCCAACACAGAAATCGCATGTCATACATTTTGAACGATACAGCGTACCGGTCACTTGTGTATTTGTCTTTAAGACTAGTTTTAGGCAACGAGTGCTCTGACTATTTTCAATCAATGAAATTCCGTCTCTCTGACTGGTTTTTGATTTCTGTGAAAACAGACCTGAAGTATGACAATGTTGTAGAGCATAAAAATGAAAACATGAATCTTGAAACATTTCCCGAATCCGACTTCCCAAAAGAAGACACAGAATTTATTCACATATGAGGGTTTAGCAATTGCGATTCGCTACAATTTAGAGATTATTCAGAGCTCAACTTTAATTTGGTTATTTTCAGAGAAGCAGGGACGTTTGCCGATCGAGTGATGGGTCTGTTTCTGCAGAAATCACAAACCAGTCAGAGCGAATTTCATTGATTGAAAACAGTCAGAAACAGTCAGAAAACTAGTTTCAACCAATGAAATTCACTCTGACTGGTTTGTGATTTCTGCAGAAATAGACCAATTAGAGCTATGGGAATGTCCCTGAGGAAGACACAAAAGAAAAAGTCGGGAATCCAAGGCAATAAGAACTTGAAGAGGGAAAGGGGAAAGTAGAATAAATACTAGGCGGTGCGAGAAGCAGAGACGATAGCACATATGAATCAGAATCATATATAAGTTTCTCGAGTGAAACCCTTATTGAAGATGTCTCTGAATCAGATAAACATCCTAGTGATATCAAAGAAATATCCATTATTTTAGATCCATATTATGCAGTGTAGACACGTATTTAGGTTTCAACCCCTATTTATACCTACAAATTTGGTGTGGGTGTGGACTACCATGAAAATAGAAGTTGCTAACTTTTGGAAAAAAGTTGCAAATACAGAAGTTGCCATTTTTTCCGTGGAAACTTGTTTTTATGAGAGAAAAGACTGTTTATTTTGGTCATATCAATGCGAAGCTTAACAATTAGACATCGTTTTCGTAATAAACTCAGCTGGAAATCGGATGATTGTAGGAAATCATCGAGGAAATCGGTAACTATAATTGGGAATGATACATACAAAAATATCTGAAAATCATTGGCAATCAATCGCAATTCTTGGGATGGGAATACATGAGATTCATTGATTAGTGATTGCCAAATATGAAAATCATTGTACATTTTAAAGCATAGTGGAAATGACCTAAAAAAAAAAAAAAATCTCGGAAAATTGTTAAGAAAAAGAATTGAGTGGATTATCAGATTTATAAGAGGCTGTATTTCGACACGATACCAAATTAAGATTCAATTTACAGGGTGTTCTTTTTGGAAATGAGCATTTCCAGTTTCACTCTATGCAGCACCTCGATTTAAATAGGATTTTTACTTCCTTTCATACATTTTAGGTAGCGCTTCTAAAAGAGAACAGAACCAGAACACTCCCAAGAAATCCCAAATTATTATCATTAAATAGAGTGTTTTTAAGAAATCAACAACGAAAACATTTCTCAAATGAAAAATTGCCAACTCTTCTCATGCCATCCTGTACCTAACTATGAGGTTGCAACTTGTGAAATATTTTAGAAATTTTCCTTCAAATTTAACATGAAAATCATTAATCACGGGGTATCATTTCGATTTGTTTTCTCCAATTTCAATAACAGTTCTTCAAAAGCTTCAATAAGAACATGTTTGTTAATTTATCAGTATTTAATCTACTCTTCAATTTGAATGAAGTTAGCTCAGATATTTTTTTTGAAAATCCGATTCACGAAAAAATTTGAACTAATATAGTACCCCAGCAAGAAAAATTTAAAATGTAAGTATTTTGGCATGAATCATGAAACCAGCATGTTGGAAAAATTGCATTGCTGAAATAGCATTTTTACAGCTTTCATAAAGCATGAAATACATAGTTTATGCGTGCTTATGCATAGCACGATCCATATTAAATCAAAAAATGCATGAGAATAATAAAAATTGTCGCATCCTAAAACCAGTAGCAAACTCTCCCAATACAATACAGGTAGTACTTTCTCGCAAAATCCACCTCCGACGAATACCATCCTAAATAATAGCAAAACAGTACCAATCTTTCATCAGTGAATGTAATTCAGAGTAAATCGTGATAGGTTGAGCCGTGTTAAAATCTTCATCGGTAGTTTATTATGTCGAGCAAGAAGGTACTACCTAAGTCGCAATATGTTAATACGATTAGCCAATAATTGTTTATTGTTATCTAGTGAATATGCAGAGTGGAATTTTGTATTTGTATAAAAACTAGGTAATGGAGGCTATGGCGGAGGCGGCGGCGGCGGTGGTGCAGGAGGTGGCGCCGGAGGAGGATCAAGCGCAGACGCACAAGCGACAATTATTTCTTCTGAGAATGAAAATGATGGAAGCGGAAATTATAAGTGGAGGTAATACATCTTAAAAAAAAAACATTTTTATTATTGGTGATTTTCATTTCAATCTATATTAGCTACGAAACCAGCAATGGCATTAAAGCTGAAGAAACTGGGGAATTGAAAAACGCAGGCAGTGATGACGAAGCGCAATCAGCAGTAGGGTCGTTTTCCTATACTGCACCAGATGGTACTGAAATCAAACTTGAATATACTGCTGATGAAAATGGATTTGTACCTAAAGGTAATAATTTGTAAATTTTGTTTCATTGGTTACTGGGTATCTCTATCAGTAAATAGTGTTTCTCTTGCTGAGGATATTAATTTGATGACCAAAACGAAAATCCTACCTTTAAATCAACAAAGTCTTAAGTCAAGCCAAAAATTCTATACAGTATCATTTCAATAGAAATTGAAGCTGGAATAAACTAAAGGGCTAAATTTACCTTTGGAACTAGATAAATATAAGCTTCTTATACTGTTTACCTATACCACCACTGAAGGTCTGAGAATTGGAAAAGCATTACATCTTCTCAACTGCTCTTTATATGTATAATTATGTCTGCAAAAATCTTTTTGTATTGACTGTCATAATCGGTTTTTAGGTGACCATTTACCAACGCCACCACCAATCCCACCAGAGATTCTGAAATCTTTGGAAGAAAATGCAGCAGCTGAAGCTAATGGCAATGGTAACGGAGGAGGTAACGGTGGAGGTAACGGTAACGGATATCCATCTGGAAATGGTGGTAATGGTAATGCTGGATACAGATATTAGGAATTTAGGTAATTTATATTACATATTTCCTCCCTAACAGCAGTATTAATTTATTTATTTTTTTTCAGGAATTCAATGCTTTAAGCCAATTTTACTTACCTATACATTTTAAGTGCCAGTGACCCCTTTGATTTTAATTATTGTTAAGTTTATATTTTAATATTTATTTATTTATTATTTTAATGTTTATCCTATATTTTTTTGATCTTCTACTTTTGTGTAGTAGGAATTATTTGATCCGGTTTCTCCACTGTTTTTTTTTGAAATAGTAAAGGTGTTTACTGGGAGTTAGTCAGATGGTGGTTATGGAATTATATAATAGCAAAATTCAAAAACACCTACTTATTCTGAATAATTTTTGCTACACCCACTGTGCAATAGTATAGTCATTTTTTCAATATTATTTATTTAAGTACCTTAAAGAGGACAGTACTTGACGATTTTATAAACCGCATGTACTGCCCCAATCTTATTTATGACGATATCGCTATGGAACAAGGCTTACGACTAAATGTTAACATGAAATTATATTGTGATGTCATCTTCGTGAATGGCTGTAATTTTTTTTTTAATTGAATAAAATGAATCATTTTGAGGAACTTATTTATTTTTGTTGGTCTCCAAACTGGCCAAATAACTAAGGGCCCTCGCTATTGCTGCAGGTATAGGTGGAGGTGTTGGCAGGTGACTACCTTGAGGCTGAAACCCATTTTCGTCAGCAATGTAGTTCAGCTGGAAACTGTTTCCATCTAAATCGACGTACTGATACTGTCCTTGGGCTACTTGGGCTTCTAGGTCTTTCTGTCCTGGGTTTTTGAGGAAACCTTGTTCTTGGGCCGAGATTTTGTTGGCTGTTTCAAAACTTAAGGAATAACAGATTAATTATTTGACATTTTCATCTACCAAGCAATTTTGTTTTTTATATAAATAACGATAATGTAGAAAATGGGGGGTGAAATAGCTGACTCAAAAATAGAACGTTTGCAACATGAAAGTCAGCAGGACAATGACCATTGGAAAACTTCCAAGAAGCTGGAAAATGAATTCTTAAAGAAAAATAAGAAGAAATTTAGTGGTTCTTACCTCCATTTATAAGATCCATCACCATTCACTTCTTGCTCTTGCCTGAATATTGGTATTGGTTCTGTGGAAGATTTTTGAGATGAAATGGATCCAAAGAAGGTGCAAAATATTATCTAAAAAAAAATACAGAAACATTTTTTCAATAATAAATTGGCGGTTTATTTTCTATTGGAACCTGAACTTTGTAGTATGTATATTAATATTTTATCATCAAAAATTGTTAGCTGCTTGATTACAGCTTAGTGCAATCAACTTAATACATATAAAACTATTTAAATTATTAGATTCTCATTTTAAAATACATGTACAGAATAAGGTACCTACAGGCGAGATTTTCCCACATATTAGCACCCCTCTGCAGCCTTTACATTTACAGGTAGAATAAGGTCTAGAAGGATGGTGTAAATACAAAAGTTGTTGAGTTTCAGCTGAATTTTCAGAATTCATTGTCAGAAACTAGAATTCAATGGGAAATTTAAAATTTTGTGTTCAAACTTTTTTCAAATGGAATGCCCTATATGCAAAATTTCACATTTCCGACATTCAATTTTTTTTTCTGACGGTGGATTCTGAAAATTTAAAGGCTGCAGAGGTGGGGTGCCAATAGCAGAACTCCCTGCATCTATTCCAGTGTTCCAGTAGAGATCAGTGAAAAAAAATTGATAGGTAATTAATTAATACCTATGTTTTTAAACCCTATAACATCATCAAATCAATGCACTTTCACACTTATTCTTACGTTACACTTTTTCGTAATAATTATTTAATGCACAATACTTACGATGAATACTTTCATTTTTTTCTTCAATATTTATACGAACAATTCAATAAATTGCACTCAGATTTATTGGGCAACAATACAATAATTATTATCACTGACTTTATATTCATATGATTTTAATTATTCTTGTGATTCATGAAAATACATATCTTTGTTATTTATATCGAAGTCATTCATCTCCCACCGAAAAGGAGAAGAGATCTTCGAAAGATTTGGAAATTTTTACAAGTAGGTTTGTACGTCCGAATACGTCTAGTGATTTTAATATAATAATGTAACTTTATGATAAGAATATTTAGTTCATTTAAACAATAATCATTATATTGAATATTTTCAAAGATATCCACCTTTAAGGGCTTAATTTTCAACATGGTTCTCAAAACTATAGACTCATAAGCTTATTGCTAAGTTTTTCGAGGATGTTCAAGATGACTATGTGCACAAGACTATCAACCTTTTTCTATGAAAATTATATATTCACTAACACTCAACACGGTTACATTAAGGGGCGGTCAACCCAAACAACAGTGTATCAGGTTACTCAGGACATCCTGGCTTGCCTGGAGAGCGACAAGATGTCTATGGGCATAGGCGTACGATTCCTTAAATAACAACTATCTTATAGAAAAGCTGGAAGCATAAGAGGAAATGCAAAAAGTTGGATAGAATCGTACCTCGGTGATAGAAAGTAAAGGGTAATGATCACCAAGAAAGAACACAATTTTTAAATCCAACACCATGGGAATAGCCCAAGGGGACGTAATTGGACCTTTCCTGTTCATTGTGTTTTTAAACGACCTGAGTGGTATACTGCAGAATTTGGACGCAAATATAGTCAACTATGCTGATGACACAAATTTAATTATGGGTGCAGAGACCTTTTGCAGCCTGGAAGAACGGGCTTGTGACATCTACATGGTTTGATCAAAATAAATTGATTTTAAATGAGCAAAAGACAAAGTTAGTAATTTTCGACACAAACAGATCCACAAAGAACAAGTTTGATAAGATGACCTTCCAATCACACAACTTTGATGACTCTATATCTAGCAAACTATGAATCAGTACTTACGTATGGCCTAATCTTTTGGGGACATAGTTCAAATTTGGAAAAAGTATTTCTGTCACAAAAGAGAATGTTTCGAATAGTACGTAACAAGCTTCAGAGAGTCTTGTAGATCAAAATTTAAACAGAAAAATGTACTTACGGTGTATGGAACATATTTGTTGGAGTGTATATTTTTTCTTCACAAAAACATGGACAAATTCACTATAAATAATTTCAAATCAAGATATGACACACGTACTGTATACATGAATTTTTCAATCCATAGACTTGCTCTTACGGAAAGAAACCCTTCCTATATGTGTATCAGAATATTCAACCAACAACATAGGAAACTTAGAAAATTTCAACGCCTTTAAGAAAACAATAAAACCATTAATAATTGATTTAGAACTATAGGTATAACCTTAACGAATATTTTGATGTAAGATGGCAAACATAGGACAACCTTTTGTCAGTTCAGTTTTTCTTGGATTTCTAGGAAACAGAAAACTTTAACAACAGGATATAAATGAGCAATAAATTCCCTAAAACTTTCCTAATTTGAGCCATCCTGTATCTCTCATAATAAGCGAAATCCCCATGTAGAGACTTGAATTTCGGACACACTGTATATATGTATACTTTTGTAATATTTTCTCAGATATAGTACCTATATAGAATCTAAGGCAGATTAAAAATGACATAGTATCTCTCTTTCAAATAATTTTTCGCTTTACAGTGACCGCCAAAAAGTTTGCAACAAATGGGAAAATATTTTATTATTAAGATATCAAAGAGAATGTTACGTGGGATCGATTCAGCATACCTATCAACAAAAAAAGCACTGTGACAGATGTCATGTGACCACAGTTATGGCGGGAAATTTAAAAAGTTCGCCTTAAATATGTAAAAAGTGCGGTTAGTTGACCAGAAATCGAAAAATTGTAGAGAGAAAAGTTGTTCAGGATTCGATTTTACGTCTATGTGTAAATTTTCAAAAAGGTAAAAGGATTTTTAATAAATATCAATTTTTTGGCCTGTTTTCTCGTAATTTGAAAAATATCAAAAACTTTTCGCTTGGTTCATATAATAGTCTAGGAGGCAGTGACGATTTTTGGTACTTATTTTCCCAGTCAGAAAACATGGATAGAATTGTAGGGTTGGTAATTCTAAGCAAAATACATATATTTTTAGGGGGGGTTTTCCGATGGGTTGAGGCGCAAAATGCGTTAAAGCTCACCAATGCACGGCCCTTTTTTTTCTTAGTGCTAAAAATAGGTCTACTAATGAGAAGTATACTGAAGTTACGTAAAAAAATAGTCCGGCAAATCTGTGAGTATGGATAATATGTCTGGCAAGTGAAAAATTGAAGATCCGAAAATTTTCAGTCAGACTCACTTTCACTATCTGACTTAAGCGAAATTGCTATTTTCATATACTTTATGTTCTATTGTCTTAAATCTGGAATATTTATATTTGGTAAAATAAGCGTACTCGTATTTTTCATTGATCTTGTGAACCCATCCGAAAATTTCAGCCAGACTCAAAAATTCTTGCTCTGTATCACTAAGAGTACAAGTTATTTAATAGACACCAACTGGGAAAATTAGTGCTAAAAAATTTCACTGCCTCCTGGAATATAATTCAAAGTGAAACTAACAAAAAAAAAACCAGTGCAGTCACTTACTTAATTGTCCCGCGGAAAACTGTAAAAAACCAAAAATTCATTTTTAGACCTCTCTGATCTTGTTGCAATGACCTACAGAAAACAAAAATTTGAAATAACAAATTTGGAATTATCATGAAATCTTCCTAAATAATCCAATACCTCTTTTCTAAATTCAATTAAACCAATATTTTTGCGCAAAGTTTCTGATATTCTTCAAATTACCAGAAAACAGGCCAAAAAATTGATATTCATTAAAAATCCTTGTACCTTTACAAAAATTGACACATAGACGTAAAATCGAATCCTGAACCACTTTTCTCTCTACAATTTTTCAATTTCTGGTCATCTTACCCCATTTTTTACATATTTAAGGCGAAATTTTTAAATTTCGTGCCATAACTGTGGTCACATGACATCTGTCACAGTGATTTTTTTTGTTGATAGGTATGCTGAATTGATCCCACGTAACATTCTATTTGATATCTTAATAATAAAATATTTTCCCATTTGTTGCAAACTTTTTGGCGGTCACTGTATATACAGGGTGTTCATTTTAAAACTTACCACCCCTATTATCTCTAAGTTTAATAATTTTTGAAAAAATCCCTGGAACACATCAACTATACTTTGAAGGGGAATTAGTTTTTATGCAAAATTCACCTCCTTCCAGAGCCTGGGGGTTGAAAGGGATGGTAAGTTTCGAAATGAACACCCTGTATATGCAAACATTTCCTTGAAGAAACAATAAATTTTCTTAAATATTCAATAAGAATTTAGTAAAAAGTATTATGATGGTTAATTGCAACAGACAATTATTGTGAGTAGGCTCAGATTCAATTGACCTTTAAAACTTGATTTTCGATCTTATTGAACCTCATTGCATAACGAGTTTAAAAGGGAAAACCCTCAATTCTTGGTAAAAGTGAACTCATTAAATTAGCAACTTTTTTTCAAGTGGAGGGCAAATCAAGATGAGCAAATATGAATAAATTAATAATAATTGTTTGGAAATACATTCGAAGGATGTAGGTACCTATTTTTAAGGCCAAAAACTGAAGAGGCTGAAAGTTGGTCAAACTTTGCATGAGACAAACTTCTGGTATTCAAACCTACAACCAACTAACATAATGTACACTGGGTATCTACCCAAACAAGTAACTTTTTACGTAATCAAAAGTTCATGAAAGCGCAAATAATTAAATTCCAAAATTTTCTTGACAGACTTAATAAATGATGTTAACCTTTCGCAATATTCAATTTCTCTTATTGTCTCGATGAATTGGCGAAATCTTTGTACTAAAAAGCTACGCTGCACCAGAAAAATTGTAATCAGTCATAATATTTTATTTGAAAGAGAAATGCTAAATATATTACTAATAAGATTACTTTATTTTAAATATCTGATAATTATTGTTGTAAATCACTACACCGAATACAATAGGTATTGCTCAACAAAATTTCTGAAAAAATCAAACGCCTCTTTTCTGAGACATAATTTATAGTTTACGTGTAATTATCGATTATTCTACAATTATCTTCATAAATTGCAGTATTAATTTTATTTCGAAATTAAATAGCCGTGTCATAAAACGATGATTCAAGAAAATAAGAGCTTGAGTTAGGTACCTACTTTCACTATAAAAGTCTTCTATTCATTAGCTTTATTGGTTCCATTGAATAATGGGAATTTTTCTTGGATGATGATAATTGAGTTTATGGCATACCTAACAAAAAAAAATATTTTTGTTTCCCGGAAAATGTGCTAATTTTTGAAGGGAAACACTATAATTTCCGACAAACTAACAAAAACTCTTGAATCCTTCTTGATGAAAATAAATACGAATGGGGGGACCACTATCTTGATAAGTTCCGAAATAGCATCCAGCTCGGACTTCTGCGACTGCGATAAATTTGACTTTTTATTGTCTGAAATACTATTTGAATTCTCTCTACTTTTCTCGAGGTCCCTGAATACATATATTCTCTGTATCTATCGTTCCCCTGGCACTTGCGTTTCGGGCTTTGTGGATAAATTTGAAATACTTCTCTCGAACATACCACCAAATTTCAGAATGATAGTTGCGGGAGACCTTAATATAGATTTTGGCGATCCCGAGAGGTATTCGACCGTTCTTCTGCTCAACCTACTTCAGTCTTTCAATCTTCAAATGCATGTTAAGGAACCCACGCGGACAAGAGACACCACCTCCACTACGATAGACTACGTTTGCTCTAATCTTGATTGTATTGTTACTGACCCTGGCCTCTCAGATCACAGTGCTATTATAGCTTCACTACCCCTAAAAGTTAAGCCTATTCAGAATCGTAAGAAGCAATGCCGAATATTTACCAGGGAAAATTTCTCTCATTTTAAGCAAACCTGTAACGACATTCCTTGGCAATCCATCCTTTTTCCGGCAGATCCTCTCCAAGAATTCCATCTTACTCTGAGTAATGTCATAGATAAATCTTTTCCCCTAAGGCCCCTTCGTAAACAGGGTAACCGAAAACGATTTCTGTAGCTAAATTAAGATCTTTAAATCTCATAAGAAAACACTTTGTTGATAGTCCTTTTATCTTGAACTATTATCTCAAATATAGAAAAATGTATAGGAAATCTATTCGTACTGCTAAACACCTATTCTACTCTAATCGTTTAAGCAATGCTGCTAGTAAATCTAGGAAAACCTGGAACATCGTGAGAGAGGTTACAGGTAAAAAAAGCCTTAGATCTCAAGAAATTGACATTGATCTTGAAGACTTAAGCAGCTTTTACTGCACTGTCGCTGATAACCTTACTGCAGCCGTCAACTCGAATGTTGATCCATTGAGTTATCTCGGCGACTTGCATGTCAACGAGTCTTTTTCATTTTTTCCCACCGATGTCCATGAAGTAGGATCTGTTCTAAAATCCATTAGAAAACAGTCCACGGTCGATTCAGATAGTTTATCCATAAAAATCTTGAGGGAACTTGGACCGGAACAGGCCCTTGGTGTTCTATCGGAAGCAATCAGCCTGTCCTTTTCATCGGGCATTTTTCCACCTAGTCTCAAGGTCGCATTGGTAGTACCGATACATAAGGGCGGGGATACAAAAGAGCCATCAAATTATCGCCCAATATCATTGTTATCAACAATATCCAGTTGTTGAGAAGCTTCTCAAAAAAACGTATGATGGACTTCCTATCAAAACATAACATTCTTAACTCCGCCCAATTTGGATTCCTTCCTCAGAAGGGTACCCATGATGCCATGTTTCGCGTTCTGGAACAACTCCTGAAGCACTACAACAATGGCTTTGCTACCGCGGGGGTTTTCTGTGACTTCTCAAAGGCCTTTGACTGTGTGAGTCACAGAACTCTTCTGAGGAAGTTAGAGGTCTACGGCTTTAGGGGTGTGATCTCGAGGTGGTTCGAATCATATCTTTCACATCGCAGTCAGCGTGTCACCCTGGATGGAAAATGTTCTTCTGATCAGCCAATCGTCCGTAGGGTTCCACAGGGATCAGTCCTGGGACCAATATTATTCCTCATCTATATCAATGATCTTCTCTAGCTTAATATATCGGGAGTTTTCACTGCGTTCGCGGATGATTCAACGGTTGTGTGGCACGGGGGAAGTTCTGATGAGCTGGTTCAGGTGATTTCTGTGGACATCAGGGCCATTAAGTGTTGGTGTGATGCAAATGGACCGCTTTTTAACTTTGGTAAAACTCGGGTACTTGGGTTCCGATGTAATGTTGATGATATTGATTGTGACGAATTCTCCATCAAATCCTCTCTAAATACTAAATTTCTTGGACATCAACTTGACGTTGATCTTAAATTCCAATCGCATGTCACAGCACTTGGCGCGAAACTTGCTTCTGGTTGCTACTGTGTCCGAGCTGTGGCCACAAATTTGGATGCAACCATAGCAAAATCAGTGTATTTTGCATTGAAACAATCCCACCTTTCCTATGGACTACCTTTTTGGGGCTGTTGTAGCCAATACCTGTTTTATTCAGTGTTTAAACTCCAGAAGCGAGCAGTGCGCTTTATCGCTGGTGCCTCCGCGGTGGAACACTGCAAACCCTTATTTAAAAAATTTAACATCTTAACATTTCCATGTCTTTTTATACTTGAATCGGTAAGTCTCTTACATAAACACATATCTTCGTTCCCTGTACACCAAACTGCCTTTTCCACACGACAGACGCACAATATACCGCTCCCGATTCCGCACTCTACTCTTGTGAAGAACTCAATAATTTACAACAGCATGAAATTCTATAATCACCTTCCTGCAACTGTCAGAAACATCTCAGATATTTCACGGTTTCGAAGCCATTTGAGGAGCTCTACTTCAACATGCCTTTTATACAGTTGATGAATTTCTAAATGTCTCTATAAGGACTAAAGCCTTCCTGCTTGTTGCATACATGCTTCTTTGAATTGAATTTTGAATTGAATAATGATCAAGTTTTTTAGAAACTTTTTCTTTTTAGCATCATCATCTGCTTCAATGTAGTACCTTGGAGGATGCATTTATAACCCAAACACCATATCCAAAACTTGTTATATTAGTGTATTATAAAACTTTGTGTTTTTTTTCTTATAGGTCAACTACCATTACTTCCAATCTACCCAATGATTCCAAATGGAGTGTATAATTTTTCTATATGAATAACCAGTGAGGAAATGCATTGCAATGGTTGACTATTTAGTTAAATTTTATTTTTTTAACACACCACACATCAGTTGACTGTTCTAGGACTCTCCAGGAGTAATAATCAGATCACCATGTACAGAGGTGGACTTCACAAAAGACAAATTGGAGATAAAATTTCCCTCGCATTTTCTTTAATGGTTTGAATTACTAGTTCTGCAATTGAGATGTCTTTAGAGGAGTGAATGAACTGAATAATAGATTCCATCTAGAATATGCCCGTAGAGCAAGATCAACCTCTTCTTCCCAACATTGTATAGGTTGGTGTCTTAAAAACGCCTTCAAGGAGCCAATGGTTATACACTGAGGTATTAACAAACAGATAGAAGAATTTCCACAACCTACCTATATGCATTTCCTGATATACAAATCAAGAAATGATACAAAAATTCGCAATGAATCACCCACTATGGGGCGATAATGGAGGTTTCAAATTTAAGTAGACCATTCCCTATATGCCTCAGGAGCATGCCTGAGAGATTCAATTCAAGGTTTTTGGGAAACAGCAACAGCAATCACCAAGAAAAGTTGATTTTTTGATGATACAAGTGTTGAGTACAGTTATTAGACATATTATGTCTTATCAAAAAACGTAAATGCAAAGAAATTGGCGAATGTCAGCAATCACAAACCAGCCAGAGCGAATTTAATTGGTTGAAAATAGTCAGACAATTAGTTTCAACCAATGAAATTCACTCTGACTGGTTTGTGATTTCTGTGCTAACAGATGACCTAATGGCTACAAATATGACAGGTGAAAGAACAGAAAAGAAAAAGAGCAAGGAATTTGAGATTTGATGAAAACAAGTCGAAAAACATTATATTTTTGAAGGAGAGAATGATAACGAATGAAGAATTTCCAGAATGTTATCAACGATGCAGTAATGAATTTATAAATAGAGCAAGAGACTCAACTAAAGAATCCAAAACATACAGAAAAATATCAGTATCAACATGGAATATAAGTCAAACATATTCCTCGACATGTGAAGACTGATTGATATGAAGTAGATATTCAAAACCAAAGAAACCAATGTCAAAAATCAGCTTTAGGTTTCCAAGAACCCGATGTCAGCTTCTCGACTATCAGACTTTTGGTATCCATGGCTTTGAGTAGCCAATAAGAGTCTTGAATATAGCATGCTGAACTGTAAAAAAGGGAAAAATGTTCTTGAAATAATTCTAGCTACCCGAAGCGATAACTAATGTCAACTTATAAGTGAAGAAGTCTGACAGTGATATACTTATCAGTATCAACAAGGGCTGAATCGCCACGAGTAGTAATTATGTTATGTTACTTTTTTAAATACTTTTTTGGATGTTTTTCAAAATACAGAGTTTAAAACGGATGTTCAAAAATGCCCTTTTCACATGAGTTTTTTTCAAGAAATATTTTATTCTTTTCATTAAAAATTTAAATCAAAACACAAAATCTAAAATAATAAATAAGATTTATTTAAGTAAACATTTAAAATATAGGGTACCTATCACAAGAAAAAAATAATTACATAAAACCTATCTACACCAATAAATTTTGATTACTGGCGCTCAATAAATTGGGTAGAGACTTGCATGTGCTACTATGATCAGTCTTGTACGAATACAGCTTACTGTTACTGTTCGAGGGACACTCAATGTCCAAAGCTACCAAATTATCCCTCAACTTTAAATACTCTTCTTCGGATTTTTTCGGACTCTCGCATAAATCCTCCACGTGCACGTCGGCTTTTTGTATGGAAGAGGCGCAGCTTCCGAAGCATTTCTGTTTGTTTTCGAAGACGTAACAGACTTGAACTTCGCTTTGGGAGTTGGAGTTCGCGTCCGACGGTGGCGGGACGTACTCGGCTTGCGTTACTACTACTTGGGTCAGAAGGTTTTGGCCTGGATCTTTTGTACTGATGTAGTTTGGTGATGGCGGATGCGGGAGGAGTTTCTCGGGAGCATTTTGTACCAGGATTATTCTGGAAGAAAATAACTATTATTAGTGTGTATTTTTTTCTGAGGGTTCGGAATAACTTGCTCTTATAATAATCGGTTAAAATCAATCTTTAATTATATTATGTACAGGGTGTGTCCTTATATTTTGACCCCTACCTACAGCTTTAGCTATACGAGGTGGAAAAAAACTTCAAATATGAAAGTTGCAGGGTTTTATGTCTATTATCTTTTGCGAATGTCAAATTGGGCAAATGACAGGTGCCAACTGTCACAATGACAAACACTTGCATTTTTAAATAGAACACCTTGTATTTTTTTGGCTAGAATGATAGATTTTTTTCTTCTGATTCCAAATATACCATATATGTTGATATTTGGTTCAGCTGTTCGCTATTCAAGTTTAAAAATGCATTTACATTATACCCTTAATTTAATCTGTCCTGGTTTCCTATACCAATGATTAGGCTTGGCTCAATAAAATTTTAAAATTAAATAAGTAGTGCAAAAACAACTTAACCAAATATCAACCTATATGGTATATTTGGAATCAGAAAAAAGCTATCATTCTAGCCAAAAATATACAGGGTGTTCCATTTGAAAAATTCAAGTGTTTGTCAATGTGACAACCAATAGGAGCAATTTCATTGGTAGAAAAAAATTAGAAAGCGTTAGCGATTTGCACAGAGAAAACAACTGAAGATAGGAGAAAACGAGTTTCACTTTCCTGTTCTAGCTTGACTATACTTGGGAGCTACTCAAAGGTTGTTATAATGGTGGTACCAAATTTGGTATCCATACTACCATCATCGAGACCACCATGGGTACCACCATTATCAGATAGCTATTGAAATGTTAAGATAGAATTTTTTTTTGTGTACAATCAAAAATGCTTTTACTCTACCTCCATCTCTTGTTGCTGCATTAAAGCTGAATATGTTCATCTCAAAAAACTTGAGTAAGAGCATTTGCTCTTGTTTTATTCATATGAGCCAATATACAGTGTGTCCGAAATTCGAGTCTCTACATGGGGATTTCGCTTATTATGAGAGATACAGGGTGGCTCAAATTAGGAAAGTTTTAGGGAATTTATTGCTCATTTATATCCTGTTGTTAAATTTGCTTCAAATTTTTCTGTTTCCTAGAAATCAGAGAAAAACTGAAAATAGCCAATTTTGTTTTTTGTCAATAATTCATAATCCGTTAACTTTAGACTTTTCTAACTTTAACATTATTAAGACACTTTTTTGAGATGGATATTTTCGTGATTTGAAAACATTCCGATCGTCGTTTGTTTTCGAGTTATTAACCAAAACTTTCTTATTTCTTATGGCGGCCATCTTTGATTTCAACAAAATAATATTCTGCGAAAAAAATCCTTTAAAATGATGTATTACAAGCTATGAAAACGTTTTGCAAGTCCTTTAAAATTACAGTTGGAACCGATATTTTGCTAAATTTGGCAACAATGCTCATAGTTATGAGAATAAAACTAAATAAGTATGATTTAATACCTAGAATCGGTATTTTTGAAGTCTTCTGGCAATTTTACTGGATAAAGAAAAAATAAGTAGGTAAGGTATTCCACATGTTTTTTTTTTTTTTTGCAATGTAAACAACATGATTTGCAGCTTTTCCTCCTTTCTTCTTTCGGTTTTTACGCCTCGGGAAAAATTATACCAATTTGGATATTCCAGATACAATTCGTGTTTTTGCGTGAAGGACGAATTTACACTCTCAGATTTTCGGTCTTTGAGAGTCTATTCGACCTTGTATTATTATTTTGATAAAATATTCTTTAATTCGAGTTTTATTTTATCAAGACAATAATATTACAATGGGTCGCTTTTTTGGCTTCTTTATCTGTGACGTGGACTGATAGTCCTATCAGTCCACGTTGGCATAATTTTTCCCGAGGCGTAAAACCGAAAGAAGAAAGGAGGAAAAGCTGTAATTCATGTTGTTTACATTACCAAAAAAAAAAATATGTGGAATACCTTACCTACTTATTTTTTCTTTATCCAGTAAAATTGCCAGAAGACTTCAAAAATACCGATTTTGGGTATTAAATCATACTTACTTGGTTTTATTCTTATAACTATGAGCATTGTTGCCAAATTTAGTAAAATATCGGTTCCAACTGTAATTTTGAAGGACTTGCAAAACATTTTCATAGCTTGTAATACAGCATTTAAAAGGATTTTTTTCGCAGAATATTATTTTGTTGAAATCGAAGATGGCCGCCATAAGAAATGAGAAAGTTTTGGTTAATAACTCGAAAACAACCGACGATCGGAATGTTTTCAAATCACGAAAATATCCGTCTCAAAAAAGTGTTTAAATAAAGTTAAAGTTAGAAAAATCTAAAGTTAACGGTTTATGAATTATTGACAAAAAACAAAATTGGCTATTTTCAGTTTTTCTCGGATTTCTAGGAAACAGAAAACTTTGAAGCAAATTTAACAACAGGATATAAATGAGCAATAAATTCCCTAAAACTATCCTAATTTGAGCCACCCTGTATCTCTCATAATAAGCGTAATCCCCATGTAGAGAATCGAATTTCGGACACACTGTATGGGGTGCTCCATTTAAAACAAATACCTAAATATTCTACTGGAACTTTTTTTTGGCTCACACTGTGTATGTAAAATTATCTATATTTTATAGATTCTTGTTAACCCTACAACTTTGCTATACATGAATGAATTAAAATGTCCGATAATGATTATACTCTATCCAAGCAATCTACGGAGTAACAAACAACAAAACCTTCAAAAAGGTTCATTGCTATTGGTCATTTATCAGCCCGCTGTACACTGTAGAGTGACGTTTTGTAAGATTTTGAAATAAATAAATGGCATAAATCAGTGTTCAGTGTAAACCTGGCCGCCAATCTGACTCTGGTCATACTCCGTAGGTTCGTTGGACAGAGTGTAGGTACATAATTCAATTTTTGAAAAATGATCTAGATAATATCATATGGCTTTACGATAATGACGTACTACATTCTGTAGGACAAGGCCTACATTTTTATGAATCAATAAAAATCAATGGATCAGAAACATTTCAACTGTTGACCCAGGATAAATCCAGAGATAAAATATTAACCTATAATGATTAATAAACTAATAAAATTCCGAGGGGAGCGGGCGGCTCACTCACCACAATTTGTACATCGATTTCGGAAATCGCATAAGATTTCGACAATTTTCAAGGAATTTCGAAAGATTTCGGATATTCGACTTTCAACGCCGTGCCACTAAAGATTTCGAGGATTTCGATAAATTTATTTGGATTTCGGGATTTCAGAAGGATTTCGGTTGAGATTTCAGAAGGATTTCAGTTGGGGTTCCGGGATTTCAGAAAGATTAATTTCGGTTAGGATTTCGGGATTTCACTCGGGATTTCATAAGGATTTCGAATAGGATTTCGCTGTTCGCGATTTCGAATGGATTTCGGGATTTCCAAAGAATTTCGAAAGAATTTCAAGGGATTTCGGATGAAAATGTACAGCGATTTCGGAGTTAGCCGCGGCCGAGTGGGGGTTCACTCATCAAAATTTGTACATTGATTTCGGAGATCGCATAAGATTTCGTCAATTTTCAAGGGATTTCGAAAGATCCGGATATTCGACTTTTAACGCCGTCACACTAAGGATTTCAAGAATTTCCAAAAATTTATTGGAATTTCGGGATTTCAGAAGGATTTCGGTTGAGATTTCGGGATTTCAGAAGGATTTCGGTTGAGATTTCGGGATTTCAAAAGGATTTAGGGATTTCATAAGGATTTCGGATAGGATTTTGTTGTTCGCGATTTCGAATGGATTTCGGTATTTCCAAAGGATTTCGAAAGAATTTTAAGGAATTTTGGATGGAAATGAAAAACAAATTTTGACTCACAACTTTGTAAATTTCAATCCGATCTTAACGTAATTAGGCTTCAATTAAAGCCAATTAAATTCTCCCCTGTGAATGATTTCAATGCAACTTTAATAGTTTTGCCACTGCAAAGCTTCAAAGTCTTTTTTAACTTAGATTTTTATCGAGGGGTGGCTCACTCACCACAATTTGTACATCGATTTCGGAAATCGCATAAGATTTCGAAAATTTTCAAGGGATTTCGAAAGATTTCGGATATTCGACTTTTAACACTGTACCACTAAGGATTTCGAGAATTTCGATAAATTTATTCGGATTTCGGGATTTCAGAAGGATTTCGGTTGAGATTCCGGGATTTTGAATAGGATTTCGCTGTTCGCGATTTCGGATGAAAATGTACAGCGATTTCGGGAGTAAGCCGCCCCTCGTAAAATTCAAACCATTGGGAAACTCTGCCAATATGTGAAGACAACAATGTTTAACATTACACATTGGAATTACCGGAATTACTTCAAAAAAGCATGTAAATGCGCAATACGTGTACAAATTTTGGTCCAGTTGTAACCCCCTCGCAAATAACTGGCTTACCAAAAGGATTGTAGATTGCGTTTTTATCTGTCAGATAATCCTGGACAGTTGATCAGAAGGTGAATGAGTGAATGAACCGGGCCTTGGTTTCTCTTTTGAGCAGCCGTTATATTCATCTTATCCCAAATGTTATGGATCAGGACTAACCATGTATCTACAACTGAACGTTGATGCTTCCAATGTTCCTGCTATGTATGAACTAAGGAGGCGATTTCTAAAAAAACAGAATATCTCTGAAAATCAAGGGTTGCTAATTTGGGGATTGAAGCACATGGAAACACTAACCATTTATCTGTAACTGGAACGTTGGTGCTTCCCTCACTCCTGCAGGGTGTGAAGTGAGCAGGCGATTTCAAAAAATCGGAATATCTTCGAAAATACAAGGGTTGCTGATTTGGGGATTGAAGCACATCATCACTTCAAAGACACCCTCGTAAATGTCACAAATAACGAAATTGGACCAACAAGAAGAAATGGATGACAGAGAAAATATTGATACTTATGGATAAACGAAGAACTTTCAAAAACAAGGACGAAACTTAATATAAAAGGATTAATAAAGAGATTCGGAATGAGATCCGTAAGGCTGAAGACACAATGACAAACACAGGTACAAGACGAGATACAAAATACCAAAAAATCGAAATTTTGTATCGTTGGATGACAAGTCAATTGTATCATGTATCCGTTTATTCTGGATTGTAGCATTGATACACGTGTTAATATACCGGGTGACAATGGAACTACTACCCACTGCGGCATTTCTTAACGGCTCGAGATAGAAATATACAACTCGGTTTGTTGATAGGGTTGAAAATTGTGAACAATTTTAATATAAAAACAATTGAATATCGTACCCGGTTTCACCAGAAATGGCATTGACTTTGTTATTTTAAATGGAACACACTGTATATATAAATTTTTTTGGACTCTCTGAACAATTCTAAATAACTTTTGTCTAACATATCCTACGTCAAAAATTGATAGTTTTTGAAATAGAGTGGCTCAAAAATATGTCGTAATTCCTATTTATTTGTATTTTACGTATAAACTGTCATTTCCGGTAGAACCGGAAAAGACATTCAATTGTTTCTATATTAAAATTTTTCACAATTTTCAACCCTATCAACAAACCGAGTTGCATATTTTTATCTCGAGCCGTTACGAAATGCTACCATGGGTAGTAGTTTTATTGTCACCCGGTATTTTTGTCTCTTGTCATTTGTACCTTGTATTTGCCATTGAATCTTCAGTCATAAGCCAATGACCAATGGTTACAAGAAAGGTGCACAGAAATGGAATAGGAATTAGAGGAGTAGCATGACCACTTCAACACACATACATTTTTGAAAAAAGTTACAGGCCGAATAAACTCTATTTGAGTAACATAGTGAAGAACATAGTATCATCTCTGATCCCAAGGAACTCCTCTTCCATTGGAGGAACTTTATGCGGAGAATACCAAAAGAAATTTCAATGAAGAATATGAAGGTGAACCCTAAGGTAATTAAACAAAGCAAACAAGGAAAAGCAGCAGGGCCAGACTGCTGCTGAATAACGAGAACGTAGACTCCCTGGTGGAAATATTCAACATATATGAAAAGAGCGAGATACTACAGGACTGGCACCAGTCAATTTTTTTTTTGTACCGATTCCAAAAATACCAAACCGAGGGGTTTTTCACCTAACAAAATGTGTACACCGATTAACAGTACTAACTGAGATATTTCCATGTATTAACAGATATTTCTATGTACCTAATAACAAGTTATTGCCAACTATTTCCATGTATTAACAAAATATTTCCACATATTGTCAGGTATTTCCCTAGTATTATCACCTCCTTCAACATATCTAAGACCAATATGTTAAACTTCAAGTGCTCATTATCCAACATCTCCTTATGTGGTAATTTTATTCATCCCACCACCTGTGCAAAGTTACTTGGAGTCTCAGTGGACGAGAGTCTCAAGTTTGAGCAGCATATTGCGGCACTTTCTGGAAGATTATCATCTAGCTGTTATGCCTTGAGAGTACTCTCAGAGCAGCTGGAGCTGCGAGCTCTCAGGACCGCATATTTTTCTCTTGTGAAATCTCACATTACTTATGGTATTGCATTTTGGGGCTGCTGCAGTACTGCAAATTTCAACTCCATATTTTTTTTGCAAAAAAGAGCCCTTAGGTTTATGCTCAGAATTCCCTTCCGACAATCTTGCAAACCTAGCTTCATTTCCCATAAAATTTTAACTGTGCCATGTTTATATATACTCGAAAGTGTTTGCCTGGTCTATAGGAAATACTATGCACTATGCACTATTCCACTAGGCAAGCTTATAATATTCCACTGCCAATTCCCAGAAGCACCTCAGAAGTCTTTTGTTTATTTTGCTAAGAAAGCCTTCAATTTTCTACCATTAAGCGTTAGGTCTTTACGTTCGTACAGAAGGTTTAGAAAGGAGGTAAGGGAGTTGCTCTTGACTAGGGCATACTACAACGTTGAAGAATTCTTTGAGGACACCTTGTGAGCATATTTTTATCGTGGCAAAAATTTTAAATTGTATTTTCATAGATATTTTTAATTATTATTATTTAAGTTATATGCTTTGTGAATAAAAAGTTTTTTTCTAGTCAACTTCTTGATTTTATTGATTTTTGTATCGTTTTGATGCGGTGGTATGCTTTCCTAATTCGTAGCTAGAATTCGAGGCTTACTTTTTACGTCTCTGTATATTTTAAACTGTTTGTTTTTCGAGTGTGCGCATTGTATTTTTATTTTATTTTTTATTGTCCTTTCATGTAACTAGTTCTAAGGCTTTTCGTTAATAATAGATTTAAGTTTAGCTTTGTCAATAAGATTGTATCTTTGATAATAAAGCAATTTTTGATTTGATTTTGATTTGATTATCACATATTACCAGGTATTGACATATCCACAGGTATTTACATGTTATTAAAGGGTATCAACCAATGATATTAACATATATTGCCTACACTATTTCCAAATCCAAGCGGCAGTAAATGACAAACTGGTCATTTTCATTACAACCTATCAAATGTCCTCCCTGCATGCGCACTGGTCCAGGTTGGGCGTTTCAACCAATAGGAAGGCTGGTGTTTGTTTATAATTTAGGTTATTAAAATGTCATTTACTGCCGCTTGGATTTGGAAATAGTGTAGATATCTACAAGTACTGACATACCGGGTGTTTTTCAAAAGCCGCTCACCCCTATAACTTTTTTATTTTTAAAAATAAACAAATGAAATTTGGTATTCTTATTTATGTCCCGAAAAAGCATTATTTGACGTATTCAATTATTTTTTATCACTTCCGGTTTGACCGGAAGTGACCCTAACTTTCTTATTTTAAATGAGACGCCAGATATATTTTTCCTCATTTCAATGGAAAACTACATTACGGGTACCTTGACACCTCATTTGTCACTTTTTGACATATCATCTTCAAATTATTCAAATTTTTACTTTTTAATCTAGAGTGCCATGAATTAGTTAAAATGCTTAATTTTGCTCCAAGGAACCTGGGAAAATTTGTTTTGATCTTATTTTGTATTTTATATCCTCTACCAAATGCAAACCACTGTGAACAGTTCCAAGACCAAATGATCAACTTGTTGAGTCAAGTCTTGAAAATGTTCCTAAGGATAATCCATACGAGAATTCACAACAGATGCGAAAGGTACACGTGAAGAACTTTTCAGTCTAACTAGAGAAAACTAATGCAAGATTTGAGAAGCTTTCCACCTTCTGATAGTAGGGCCTATCGCGTAGTAGTTTTCCCATTGGCCAAAAGATTTCATAAATTAAATATCAATCATTCTAAGTTGGGTGACTGTACCTGTTTCTTGAAATGATTTGTCAAAATTATTCTGATAAAGTTTATTTGGTTAGAAACAATTTAAAGTCAAAGATATTGTAGTCCTTGACCCACTATGTTCTGGACTGTCCCTGGCCAGCCCCTTCGCGTTTCCTCCTTATCAGAACTCATCTGAATGACATAAGCCATAATAAAAAAGAGACAATGAATAATTAATAAACATTGTCACATAATTAGCAAAGAAAGCCCGTAAATGTAATTGAATGTCAGTAGGGGTAATTGCCCTCACATGACTTGTTCCTGGGTCCACAAAGTTCAATGCTATTGTTGTTATTGTGATTGAAAACATACTTTTTTTGTAATCACTGTTTCTGTAATTATGTTTATGAATGATTCATAAAAAAAAATTAATCATACAGTTACATAATAAACTTTTTTGTATTTACATTTTCCTGAGTGTTCTTTCAGAGGATCCTCAATTATATACCAATGAAATGCTTGATATTCTTATGAGAAGCTTTTCTAGACTTTGCTTTAAACTTCCAAAAAATTTCATATACTTCCAATCTTCAATTCTAGCCAACCGACAGAGAAAACTTTGAACGTTAATTAATAGGTATGTAAATATTCAAATTAACGCTTCAAACAGCTAATTATGTACATACGTTGGTTGAGTTATATGTGAATCAATTAACATTAAAGAAAGTTGTTTTTAGGTAAAATAGCAATTTACTAGCCAACCATCATCTGATATAATTAAAAATTTCAAAAATAAATAAGTGAGTACATATTTTTCTCATTTATTACAGCACTTAATTTTCTGTCGCTAAAAATAGGGTGGCACAGTAGTTGTTTCCAAATATTTCATTTGCAATTTCAGATACACTTTTTATTATTGCAAAATATACAGACAAAAATTGAAAAACAAAACATTCAGGTTTTGACTTGAAATTTTTATTGTATTGCAGAGAAAGCCTAGCTCTCCTAAAGCAGAAAACTCAAGAGAAAATCTCATTAAAGCCTGGAATATTCCTTTAGAGTTACAGAGTGCCAGAATAACAATTATAGTGAAATATCTTCAAAAAGGTTTAGCTTTTTTAATAAAAAATTTCTTCAACAAAACACTGCAATAAAGAGATTAAACCTTATCAGAGTCCTGAAACTTTACATCCAAAGCCTTGAAAACTTTCCAATTGTGTTTATGCGTAAATAATAAATTTCCTATATTAAATTTAAATTACATAATCAGTTCACCAAAACTGGTGGGTTATAAATAAACATTAATTAGTATAGGATTTGGAAAATTGCTTTTTGGGGAGTCGTTTAGTGAGATTAATCAGTAACGAACAAAGTTTAATTAAGTTTGGCACCTTGGCGTATTGATTCGAAGGTGAAATTTATGTTGTTGTTTTCACTGAAAATGTGCCCTCTCAGCCAGAAATTGTTACATAATTAAATTCTTATTTTTTACATTTTTTTCGTTTTTGCAAAGATAGTTCATATTCAGGAATAATATTTCTTTTTAAATCCCCTATAGAAACAATTAACATTTATTTTCAATTCCAATCATAATCTAACAGATTATTAAATAGGAAATTGTCGGAGATGCATAAGAATATTTTTAGATTCAAATTCTCACCTATTATGAGCCTTCCATCTAGAAAACAGATGCAAGTATTGTCTACATTGTATATACATAAATACAGCGCCACCAGTAAATCCTACAGCAACCACTACTAGTTTTGTCCAAAATGGCCACGCTGAAACAAAAAGGGAGGTAATTAATATAAAATCTTGGAGTTTAAGGATTTTTTCTTATACATATTGGCCATTGATTGAAAAATCTATTTTTTCTGCGATTGACAAGAAATGTCATCATTTTTGACCGGTTGACAGGTCGCAAAACTCAATATTCTGGTATTTCAATTATGTTTCAATAGTTGCTAAGGAATCAATGAATAACAATACGGGAACACAAAACATCCCCCCTTAGAAATGTAAGTCTTATGAGAGACGTCAGTCTAGTCGTTTCAGCTTTCCCCTCCAATCACTAGAGGCGCTTCAATCAACCTATTAAAGTTTTCTTTTTCCTGCCGGACCGTGCGCCAAGATTTGAAGTTTATTTTGTCATTTCCAGTCGTCAAAATTTAAATTTTGAACTTCTCCCAACATTTAGAATTATCAATTACCTATCAATTATCAATAATTATTATCTCAAAATGTCTTCTCCCAGTTTGTTAATTGAAAAGCATCAGAAATGCTGTGTTCCGGGGTGCGGCGACAAATACAGCAGCTATTTCCGGTTTCCAAAAGATGCCGAAAAAATGAAACAATGGCTAGAAAAAGTTCGCAATCCTTTACTAAATAGCCTCAGTGTCGAGAAGGCTTATAATAATTATAGAGCGTGAACAAGACATTTTCCTCGAGAATTTATTGTTGGCGATCCAAAAGCCAGACGAGGACTCACATGGAATGCTGCGCTTTTGCTGTATCTCCCTGAAGGTAAGTTAATACTAGATATATGTGAGAAAGACGTACTTACATTTTCACTTATTCCTCCCCATAGTTCTGATTAACGACAACGTGTTAGAATTCGGGTTTAAAGGAGCATAGGTCAGAAACATTAAAATTAATTTTAATTTTAGCCCCAATTATCAAAAACAGTAAGGAGTCGTTAATTGATAAACCACAATCACCAAAATGGCAAAAAGTGGAGATCGACACAGTTGAAACTCGTCGAAGAGTCCTAAGACGCCTTCAGAAATTAGTTTCGCAACTATGATTGACATAGGTAGGTAAACATAATAACTCTGTTCCAACACGTCAAAAAATCGTCCCATGAACGGTTTCGAAACCACTCAGTATAACAATTTTAGTTTCTGCGCAGAATCGTGACGGTACATTGTACGGTTTTCTGCTGTGTTGGAACAAAGCTAATATTATTCATTTCTTTTTTTTAAATGTTTATTCCTTTATCAGGAGACACAATAATTAAAATATTCCTGGTTACATACAGGTACACCATATTCTACAATGCATGTATCCAAACTTTTTTGGTAAAATCGTTGGTAACGAAATTTCTGTTTTAGATCAACCAGGCCCTTCATGTCGTCAATTTTTATCTACTGAAACTTCTGCAATTCGGGCAGACATTGCTACACCAAGTGGAACCATAACATCTGCAAACATGAAAAAGTCACCAACCCACTTTGTCTCTTAAAACTTTTATTGGTAGGTACCTAAGTGTTATTGCTTAATGAATAACCACCCAGTTGGGAGTAGGTGAATTTTAAAACATCCTAACTCAAATAGGACTACTACTATAAAAGACTACTAATTACTAAAACTTGCAGTCGAATGCTAGAAAAATTAGAAGCTAAATGTGCGAAAAGCTCGTCTCCAATCTTGATCTATTTTTTTTTGCAGGTCATGAGAGACGATGCCAAATTTTAAAGAACATTAACGTCACTAGGCAAAAAATTCCTATCCCCAAGGGAAAAATATCTTTATTCCAAAGTTATAGAATCCAGCAATAAGTTAAGAAGAATCAGTAGAAGGTTGTCGTCATTTAAATCCAAAGTTTCTACTGCTGAATAACTTGCATCATAAACCAAATTTCAAAGGCTCGTAGACCACGTCAATCCATTGATATACAGCTTTATTTTAAGCCAAGTCCGTACTCAAAACCAAAAGCCTAAAGCTAGACGATTTACATTGGACGAGAAGTTGTTGGCGTTGTCTTTGCTTAAAGCTAGTGGTAAAGGGTATAGACTATTATCAAAAATATTTATTCTATCATCCAGGCGAAATCATTTTCTTGAATGAGCTTTATATTATGTATAACTACATAAACTTTCTACCTAACACATGCGGAAAGTGTATTTTCTGGACTTAAAGGCTTGTTTGAACTCTGCTTTTTGTTGTCATTCGTGCAACTTCCATCACGTGCAGAAACACTTTCCTCACTTGTTAGGTTAACAACGATTTTGGATTGTGAGAAAAGGACCTCTTTTGTCATTTTATTTACGATTTAAGTTTTTCATCAAGCTATTGTTAAATGTACGTCATTACTTCTTGTAACTGTCCTTATTATCTTTAACTTAACTAGCATTACCTACCTATGTATGTATACTTACATGAAAAAAAACTGTTTCGCAATAATTGTAATTAATTCCATATTCTTTAATATTTTCTGTTTCAAACTTTAATAAATATCTAAATTTGTCATCTTAATTTTTAGTCAATTTTACCTTGAAGGCGCTTCAACACTACCGATTTTATGAGTTTCTTCTTTTTGGCACAATTATTTTATGCCAAAAAATGGTAGAAACTTTAAAGTGGTGGTGTTCAATCGCTAGAATCAAACAATGGTGCAAACGATCCACCGGAACAAATAAGATACCGAACGAACCCTAATTGCGTTTTGCATTCGCCAATAAATCCAGAATTACAAAAGCTTACCCCCCCAGTCACTAGAGGCGCTGAAAACTTATAGACAGGTTCTCAACACGGCACTTACCTTTCTAAGGGGGGATGTTTTGTGTACGGGAAACACTTTCCCGGCCTAAGCCGGGAAAATGATTCTCGTACTGCTGAATAACTTGAACCAAAAGACAAACATTTAACAGGTATTTAACCGATCGCAGAAAAAATAGTATGTGTATTTCGGTGGAAAAGCACATTCTCAGCCTTCGGTGTTTGCCGGCCTCGGCTACGCCTCGCCCGTCAACTTACACCGTCGGCCGAGAATGTGTCACTTTTCCACCTAAATACACAATATACTATTTCTGCGATTGACAAGAAATGTCATCATTTTTGACCGGTTAACTGGTCGCAAAACTCAATATTCTGGTATTTCAATTATGTTTCAATAGTTGCTAAGGAATCAATGAATAACAATACGGCAAACACTTTTCCGGCCTAGGCCGGGAAAGTGATTGTCGTACCGCTGAATAATTGGAACTAAAAGACAAACATTTAACAGGTATTTAACCGATCGCAGAAAAAATAGTATGTGTATTTCGGTGGAAAAGCACATTCTCAGCCTTCAGTGTTTGCCGGCCTCGGCTACGCCTCGCCCGTCAACTTACACCGTCGGCCGAGAATGTGTCACTTTTCCACCTAAATACACAATATACTATTATTAAATAAATACCTATATTCCTTAGCTTATCTAGAAGTTTTAGCAAAATCAAGCCAGTAATTTGTGAGAAGTTTATAGGAATGAAAATGAGAAATAAAAACGGCAATTTCTCTTTAAAGATCATGAAATGCTTTCATTATAGTAAGCTTGATTACGATTTTTCATACATTATTTTCAATGTGAAGGTGAATATTACAGGAAAAATTATAGAAAATAGTAATAGTGCAATAATGAAAATGTCATACTTATGTTAATGATATACGTACAGTGCGTAATTGTTATGAAATATATTTTTTTAAGTCTAATGTCAAGTTTAAACCATCAGTTCTAATTTTTTTCCATTGTTTAAAAAAAACTGTATTAGTTAATAGGATACCTATTATATACTGAAGGACGTGGTAAATTTAATCCTGAAGCAACAGTTGTTGGGGGATAAAAAAACATTTTAATTCTGTAGTTTAGACTAGACAGTACTTTTTCACTTCATTGATAGTTTTCTGATGATTTTTTTTTGGAATAATATGCAAAAAAAATTTTTTTTGCTGTAACTACTGTACCTTTTCCTGTTCGTGACATTCGTGAGGTAACTTGTTATTTGAAATTCTATAAAAGATTAATGATTAATGATTGAAAAGTAGATGTTGAAATTTGAGAATTAACATGAACATTTTCATATCAATCAATATCAATGATTAACTCCCCAATCAATGTTAGGTCAAACATGGCCCCATTAAATCGACTATAACCCTGGAACGCCTGGATCGATTTTGATGATTCGTATTTCATTTAAAAGAGGATTAAATTGACTACAAAATAATCCTATTTTTAATGTCAAAAACTATTACCGTTTCAAAGGTATGAAGCTTCAAAGTTGAAATTTATACTAAAATTTTAAAAAAGCTGCAAACTCAAAAAACTCAAAAACGGTGAGTCGTAGAAGAGAAACTCAAATAGCAGTTTTGTAGTATCATCAAAATCTCATCAACTTTTATAGGAAAAGTTTTTCGGTACGACGCACGGTTTCCAAGTTATGACCGTTTGAAATTTGGAATTCAAAAAAATCCCCTGTTGAAAAAGTTCCCTCAAAATATCAAAATGACAATTTGCAATACATATTTTCTTCAAATATTTTATAAAAGGGGCCTCAAGGATCCCATATATTGATTATTTTTTGAAAATTTTCCCTAGGAAATATGGGGTACTTTTTTCATTAAATTGAAAAATTGAAGACATTCCAACTTTGAAGGCTCGTAACTTGGAAATGGCATCAATCTGGAAATTCTGGATGAAGCCATTTTGTAGGCAATGTAATCCTCTATGGAATGGAACATGATTCTTTGAAAGCAATCCAAGCATTCCAGATTCCGATCTAATAAGATCATGTCAGGCTGGAGAAGCCCCTTTAAGATTAAAAAAAAAAAAAAATCCAGGCTTAGGAGACGTTCTAGAGAAAAATGCCAAATAGCTTTTCTGCTTGTTTTGACCTCCTCTATACAATGGAATTTTTGTTTTTTCAAAATTCCGAAAATTTCGATTTTCCATTATGTGGGGTATAGAAGAGAGCCAGAAACTCCTGGAAAAGCGGAAAATTAAGGGGAAAAAATGGATTCCGACATTTCTCTGGACCTCCTCTATGACGTCATTAAAAAAAATCCAGGAAATTTTTTGCCGGAAAAAAAGGAAGGCTGAATATCTGGAAAACTATATGTCCTAGAGGGAAAACTCAAGAAGCTTTTTTGTAGATTTCGACGAGCTCTACAATCTGCCCCTGAAAAGTTTTCCTCTAGAACTTACCGTTACGGAGCTATGGCCGGTTGAAGTTGCAATTTTCGTCCTTTTCAAGAGTTCCCTGTACTGTAGGTATAGGACCAAAAATCAAAGTCAAAATTTCGGAATTTCAAGATAGCCATTTTGTAGAGGGAATCCCAGAAAGTCCCAACAACAACTTTTTTTCACCTAATTTCGTGATTTTCCAGCTTTTTTTTAAATTAAATGCAGCCTCTTGTGAATTAATTTTTTTCTGGAAAACTGGCAGAGGAAAAAAATTTGAAATTTTCCCAGGAGAGAGAGGAAAGTGACGAGCTCATTTTAGGAAAATTTCAAAATTTTCCATTGAAAAATCACTCCAAGAAAAGGTCTGAAAAATTAACATTTTAAAGCAAAATTAGGGAAAACACCCTCTTACATTTCAATTTTTTTCAGGAATACTGACAAAGGGAAAATTTTGAAATTTTCACAGGAAAAAGTGGAAAGTAAGAAGCTCATAACAGGTAAATTTCGAAATTTTCCAGCAAAAAATCACTCCAGAAAAAATTCTCTGGCAAATTGATTTTTATACCCTTACCTCGACCCTTTTTTAATTTTTTTCTGAAAAATTGGCAGAGGGAAAATTGTGAAATTTTCACCGATGAAAGTGGAAAGTGAGAAGCTCATTATAGGCAAATTTCAGAATTTTCCAGTGAAAAATCACTCCAGAAAAAATTCTGGAAAATTGATTTTTATAAGCAAAATTAAGGAAAATTCACCCTCTTACATTTTTATTTTTTTCTGGAAAACTGGCAAAAGGAAAATTTTAAAATTTTTACAGGAAAAAGAGGAAAGTGAGGAGCTCATTAGAGAAAAATTTCGAAATTTTCCAGTGAAAAATCACTCCAGAAAAAATTCTGGAAAATTGACTTTAATACGCAAAATTAAGGAAAATTCACCCTCTTACATTTTAATTTTTTTTTGGAAAACTGGCAAAGGAAAAATTTTGAAATTTTCACAAGAAAAAGTGAAGAGTGAGAAGCTAATTACAGGATAATTTCAAAATTTTCCAGTGAAAAATCACTCCAGGAAAAATTCTAGATAATTGACTTTTATAAGCAAAATTAAGAAAAATTCTCCATCTTACATTTTATTTTTTTTCTGGAAAACTGGCAGAGGGAAAATTGTGGAATTTTCACAAGAGAAAGTGGAAAGTGAGAAGCTCATTACAGGAAAATTTCAAAATTTTCTAGTGAAAAATCACTTCAGGAAAAATTCTGGAAAATTGACTTTTATAAGCAAAATTAAGGAAAATTTACCCCCTTACATTTTAATTTTTTTCTGGAAAACTGGCAGAGGGAAAATTGTGAAATTTTCACAGAAGAAAGTGGAACGTGAGAAGCTCATTACAGGAAAATTCCAGTGAAAAATCACTCCAAGAAAAATTTTGGAAAACTGACTTTTATAAGCAAAATTAAGGAAAATTCACCTTTTACATTTTATTTTTTTACTGAAAACTGGGGAGGGAAAATTTTGAAATTTTCTGGAGAGAATGAGGAAAGTAAGGAGCTCATTATGGGAAAATTTCAAAATTTTCTAGTCAAAATTCACTCCAGGAAAAATTCTGGAAAATTGACTTTTTCAAGCAAAACTAAGGAAAATTCACCTTTTTACATTTTAATTATTTTCTGGAAAACTCGCAAAAGAAAAAGTTCGGAATTTTTACAGGAGAAAGAGGAACTTAAGGAAGTCATCATTCTATCATTTCAAAATTTTCCACTGGAAAATCACTTCAGGAAAAGTTCGGGAAATTAATTTAATTAGGGAAAATCCGAGGGAAAATCAAATTTCACAATTTTAGAAAAATATTTTGTTTTTTGATTAGAGGGGGCCAAAATAAAGCGAAAATGCCCTCTGTCATTTTTTGGTTTGAAGCCTCTTAAGCCCGGAAAAAAATCGAAAAGAAAATTTCAAAATTGTATTTGTAATTTTCCAACTTGACGTCAAACACAGCAAGTGGCTATTCATTTTCATTCAAGACCCCAGAAATTAAAAGAAAATATAATCTAGATTGAAACTGCTACCTTATTCCCTTGAAACAGGGACCGAATTGCATTATAGACCCGTAAGTGAAAAAAAAAAACCTTAGAAAAGACTTTCATACAGTTTTTTAGTGTGTTGAAACAAAGCCAAAATATTTGTACCTTTATGTTTTTTTTTTTAATTACACATTTTTACTATACATCGTTAAAATACTCTGAGAAATAACATTATTTATCATCACACACATTACTTATTACTATTTACCATACCTAATAGACTTTCAAACTATTTTTAACTGATATGTATATTGCAATAACAAAATATGCAAAGTTAAGTAATTTAGTTCCGAACAGAAAATAATAATTTACTTACCGATTAGTCCTTTTTGCACTTCTTCCGCAGCCCTATCAATAAGTACAAAGAGAGACCACACCACACACACAGCTGCCACAAAATGGAACAAAATGGCACATAAAAGTCTTCGCCTCTCTACGCTGCTCATTTCCAAAATTCGCCACTAAAAAAAAATAACAATAATTGTTAGTACATAATAATATACTCAAATATTAAAAATAACTAAAAATAATGAATGTATGTAAAGAAATCTAATATCCAAAATCTAAACAAAAGAGTACAATGCACAAGAAGTCAAGTCAAGTCAGTGAACTATAAAATGTTATCCACAAATCCTTTTACAAAAGGGCGTTTACCATGTATTAAACCACCAAAGTAAATTTTACCCTTTAAAGTTGTTATAAATGAAAAATAAGCTCGAAAAATGCCTCCATACTTCATTTCTTAAGGATACTTACATCATATTTCAGCTCTTATTGAAATTTCCAGAAAAGAAAAATAAATCGACTAGAACTATGCCTAGCAATTATTGTGAGTTTCAAAATATATTACATAAAATACTTATCTGAAGGTGGATAGCCCACCTGGTATGTCTAATAATAATGCTGTTAAAAATCTTTTCGAAAATACTAACTATTCTTTGTTTAGCTTCAACTCTTAGACTTGAATTCAACACAAACATTTTCACTTAAATAATGTTTGCCCCATCTATAGAATATACAGTTTGAGTGCTCTATTTTGATCTTTAATGGAAATGCAGTAAGACTACGGCCACCCAATTTTATGTCTGTATTTATTGACGTATTTCTCCTCGCACCTTGTACGAAAAAGTTGTTGAGGTTGCAATCAATTTAAATTTTGTACATTTGTATGTAAATCTGCAATAATTTGGTGAATACTAATGACTGCATTTATTGCCAAAATTACTTTTTTTGAATTTAAATGTAATCCTTGATAACATCTTTAAAAAAAAAGTAAAAGTTGCCAAGCCAATGCCCTAGAGTTGACTGAGCAACAATAACATTTTTTTCAACCTTTTCGCTTAGTTTGATGAGTTTTCAACTCAGTTCTAAATATTTAAATTAGATACCTACACCGTAATTAAACGAAATACGAATAAGAAACGGGAAAACAGGAACATTTAAACCATGTAGACAATTGTAATGTGTATTTTAAACATAAAACCTATTATTAAAGCGACAACTTAATTTGTATTGCCAAAAAAAACACACGAGCCAGATGCCCTGAGTTTTTGGCAAGAATTAGTCTAATAGCTTCGAAATATAAAACACTAACAGTGAGCAATATTAAATTGTTGACACCAAAAAAATCTTATAAACAAGGCTTTTTCAAATTTTATTTTCCTGTCTGATTGTGGCCTTTGATTGTTCAAATTGCATGCCTAACATGCAAGTTTTTTTTATTAAAATTTTAAGCACTAATTATTAAATAATTATTTGAAAATTTTCAAGATATAATGAGCAATAATTATTCCTGCTATTATTTGAAACAATGAGGCATGCCTAGTGCGTTGCAAGTGACTCGTTATAAAAAAAGTAATAACAAGATCATTATGTTGATTTGATTGGTGTGAAGTACAAATTTATCTCCAATTAATAATTAGTGAGAGCTTTGGTTATTTGGGCTCCAATGAAACGTTATAGCAGTATTTGTAGACCTAAGAAAAGCATTTGAACCATCTTTCTAATCAAATTTTATCTATGATACCAGCAATATAGGAATGTATGTAGAAATTACTCCACAAATAAATGCCTCCTTTTAATCACACTTTAGATATCGAATACCACTCTGGGGAACATGTTGGATAACGAATTTAAGCTCGATCGAAGTCCGAAATTAGAGTAGCAAAAAATTTTGTCTACTCCGAAAAAATCCAATAATAAACAGCGAGAGATCTGGAATAGCGTAAATGAACTTCGACAAAAATCAAACTCCAATAGAGAAAATAACTCGAAAAATAACATAGATTGGGACTCGGATTGGGAGTCCCAAGGGGAATCCAGTCCAACCTTTCATGTAATAATTTGGATGATTTCTATGGCTCCGTTGCTGCTAAATTGTCCTCATAAATTTCTAGTAATAAAGATTACAATGAATATTTGTTTTAATTAATTAAGTAACATAAATAATTCTCTCCTATTGATTTAGTAAAACTCAAAAGCATAATAACTAATGATAGACATTCAAAATAAAAAATGCCACGGCATGATATCTTTATGTGAGCTTTATATGAGGATTAATCTTTGTGCTACTATCCACAATGCCTTGAATTGGTGGAATAATTATTGTGCTCATTTTTAAGGGTGGTGGTGTTGATGCACCATCAGATTTCCGCACAGTGGTTTTATTGGCCCCCAATCTGCGATAGTGAGAAAAATTGTGTTATTCACTAAGGGAAAAATGTGACAAGATTTCGGATTTGGAGCGATTTTGAGGGATTTCGGAGGATTTTGGTAGGATTTCGGAAAGATTTCGAGATATTATTCACTGTGACAAGATTTCAGATTTAGAGCGATTTTGAGGGATTTCCGTTGATTTCGAAGGATTCCGGGTGATTTCGAAGGATTTCGGGTGATTTCGAAGGATTTCGGGCGACTTTGCAAATATTTTAATCTGATTTCAGACTGTTACTTATCTTATAAGTATATTCGAAAGTGTATTAGTATAAACTGAAAAACGGCCACGTTGACCGATTTATGAATTTTGGGCCAATTGCGAGGGATTTTAGGGTCTGCGGAAAGATTTCTGACAGATGTCGGAGGGATTTCGGCGGATTTCGGAGTGATTTCGTGGATTTCAGAAGGATTTCAGTGATTTCGGTAGGATTTTGGAAAGATTTCGGGGATTTCGGACGAATTTGTCACACGATTTCGGGAGTGATTAACCCCTCGGGGTGGTGTGTCTGATGGAAGAATAGTGACTCACAAACACCTCAAGGTTCTGTATACTTTTTGCGGATTATGCCTTTTTCTTATCGAGACTTGAATTGTAATCATTAATAAAGATGCACATTTAATAAATACGTGGTGTCTGTAATCTCCTAACATTAATAGGTATAAATAAAACTTGTGTCATGAATTTTAAATGTGATACTGATGTACCATAAGTAATAACCTCAGTAATAACTTACAACCCTTGAAAAAAATAAAATTCTTGGGTATTTACTCGAGGAATAGGCTTAAATTTGTAAGTGTAAGACACATAAACCAGCTCAAAACAAAATTGAAATCTAGTTAAGTACTAGGGAATCCAGAGTTCTAAGTAGGAAACCAAATAGAGAAACTGTTAAGGTTGCATATTTTGGTTTAATTGAAGCGGGCCGATATAATAGGTATACGTTTCTGTTGTTTCTGACAAAGTTAAACTAACATGTTTACTAATACATATTAGAAACAGCAGCTATGATACACAAGAAGTTTCAAAAAGGTATACCTACATTCCACTAATACAAATAACGCAAGGTCATCTTACAGAGTACCAGTGCCAGTACCAACAAGTACTCTAGTTAAAAAAATCTATTATATTCAACATTCAACAGCGAAGCTATTTTCAATCAAATCCTACCACTGGAACTATGTAAAGTTGAATCGGCTAAGATTTGAAAAAAAAAGTTAAAAAACCTATCAATTGTAAATCAGTAGGTTCTACACCTGGATACAACACCATGGAGAAATTTTTTAATTCAACTTTTGAGTAGGTAAATGCAGTATCAATTTCTGCCTTCAATTTAATGACTTTTACTCTGTTTGTTTAAGAAATAAGTTTCCCTAATGTTTTTGTAAGATGTACCTACTTATTTAATTTTTGATTTTGTTTTGTGCTCCATCATGTTGAAACCATGTATTAATCAACTGATATATTGGAATGTTTTCCAGATATTATTGAAATTGCATTTACTCAGTAAATCGACACATGATGGAGCGCCGCCTCACAACACTCGTTCTGTTTGCTATTTCCCGGAGGAATGTTTTCCAAGAATATGGATCGGAAACCAACAAGGCAACCAATGAGCGCTACCCTGGCCGGCGAAAAGCCCAGATCTAACTATTTTAGAAATTATCCTCTGGGGAAAAAGTAAAAACAAAGTGTACCCTAATAAATTCAATAATCTCGTCTGGAGCTTTTGAGAACCAGCATAGGAAATGAATTCCGCTCCATAACCTAGAGAGATTTATTCCAAGGAGCTGTCAACAAAATAAGAAGAAAAGTCAACCGCTGTTTGCAGCAAAACGGTGATCTTTTTCAACATTTAGAAAAGGAGGTATTTTTTTTTCGGTTAGTTAGTTGTGTTATTTTTTTTTCTACAACTGTATTAATTGTGCTAATTATCAAAAACAAAAACGATGGCATTCTTTGCACTCTTCACATAAGTTAACGTGATAAAAAAAAAGTACCTACCTACTGTGTGGAAGAGAGACTTGTGGATTTATGTACTTGAGATGCGATATGTAAAATGGAAAATGAATAAACACAACAAACACAGCTAGGTATCAGGCTTGGTATCAGGTAAAATCGAGGGTAAAATCATCATTACAGTATTACTCTAATTCACTAGCTAATTCAGGTAAGGTAAGATTATCAGTACTCATCTATGCTAAAATATGCTTTAGTCTGCAATAATAATTTTACCCTCTGTCATGCTATAAAAGATTTCGCAGACTGACGGAAAAGACATTATTTGCGAAAACTTATTACCCCATAAATGATTTTTTCAATGACAATTTTAGTTAAATATCTCGTTAAATATATTATGGTAGGTATTTTGTCCTACTTTTGATTGGGTTTTGTTCTGTATGAGGTTGATGTTTTTGCTTGCTTGTTTTTATTTTTTCTGTTCATTTTGTTATTTGTCATTTTAACTTTAGATTTTGAGGGTTTTTATCATAACTTTGACCCTAGCTTTGACCTCACTTTTGTTAGTTTCAAGCTCGGTAGAGATGAACCACATTAATATTATGTTGTGTGGTGATTATAATTTGCCCAAAGTCTAGTGGGTGAATGACAACATGGGAACACAAGCCTTTTCTTTGGAAGGCTCGTTCACTGAAGAAACTAAATGCTCAGTTGAGTACATGGCATTTCTCAAGTTACATCAAATAAACAGTTTCCCGAATATAAGTATATGGTAACTGCCTTGATTTG